AAAAAAAAAAAAAAAGAAAGAACGAAATCCTACTATGAGCGATCCCGCCATCTGGCCTGAAACCACTTCCCCCAGCTTAGGTACCTCTGTTACCCTGTCGGCCTCCTGTGTTTCCATCGAGGCCGGCGTCTCTGTTCTCTGAACATTTGTTGCACTCTCCCGCCTCTGTACCTTGCCTGTGCCTGAGTGTCCTTTCTCCAGTTCACCTGTTCGAATTCGACCCACCTCCCAGGGCCTGGCTGGAATGCTACTCCCTGCATTCAACATCTGATCTGCTGAGATACATCTGATCTATCCCTGCTCACTGTTCTCCCACTGTTTTTGCCTCTGCCACAGAGCCACCTCACTCTGCCTTGTAGTTTTGTTACCTGTGAGTGTGTCTTTCTCTATTAGACTGTAAGCCTCTCGAGGGTGAGGCCTAGCCTTCTTGTCTTTGTAACCCATAGCACCTGGTATTGTGCCTTGCCTATTGTAGGTGCCCAATAAACACTTGCTGAACTGAATTGGTGTAATGTGCATGTGTGCTTCGAGCACAGTGTGAAGTGGCTGGGAGGCAGAGCTCCAGGACACATGCCCCATGACACATAGGTGTGTCCGCGTGGGGGCCGAGGAATATGCTGGCTATGAGTTACCCCAGCTCCTCATCTAAGGCACCACCAATTCTCAGTGAATGACAATGATATATGGAGATGGGGTATGCTAGAGTGGTTATTGCCAAATACTGGTACTTGGATCGCCTAAGTCAGGATCCCCTGGAGCAGGGCCCTTGATAGACATATAGATTCCTGGGTATACCCCACACCTGTTGGGCTAGAATCTTTGGGGCTGGTGTCCAGGAATCTGCACTTCAAACAAGAACTCCAGGCATTGGCTGTGGGCTAGGTTTGGAAATTCCTTGCCTAGAAGAGAGAAATAGAATGGTAAATACACCAGGATCCTTATTTCAGATGACTTTTCACCTCTGCCCCAGCCAAGATCATTGCTGTAACCAGTGAGCAAAATCAGTTTCATGAGTCTTCATCTTCTTTTTCTACCTACCACTGGATGTACTAATACCTTGGGAGTGAGATTTCCAGACCTGGGTGATGGGCAGTTCTCCAGACATCGACTTTAGACTGCACTGACCGAGCAGCCCTTCTCAGAGCTGCTACTTGGGGAGTCTCAGGTTCCACTTGGAGCCTAGCATTGGCTCAGCTGCTTCCACCACTGTTCCATCAGCTGAGCCCATGCCAAGGCTTAGTCTGAGGGGTCCAAACATGACACTATTGAGTCCTTGGCTCTTTCTACAGCAAAAGGTCCTTCAACATGCTGTGGTTAGCACTGCCCAATAGTTCTGTTCTGTTCCATTTTTTGGATCTCAGGAAACGATACTATTTGGGCTACATGGTGTCCATGGAAGACACATTACTTGACTTCAGGTTGCCTGGCCAGAGCTCTGAGCCACTAGCTGGTGTGTGAGTGGCCAAGGCACAATGGATCCATGCATTTGGAGAGCTGCCTGGTCAGCATGCCCACAAGGCAGTGTTGCTCCTGTTTCCCCGTCCCTTTACAATACCATTAGAGGTCACTAAGGTATTCACATATTAGTATCTCTGCAAGACATACTTTGGTAAGTTATAACAGGTGGTCATTTCTCAATCTGCTAGAACTTTAGGCTATTGTGGCCTTTAATTGCCCCAGCAGGTCTAGCTAAGGCCTCTTCACCAGTCATGCAGCAAGTCCTGGCACCAAGTCCTTCACATGTCCTGTACCAAGAGCTCAGCAAGTGTAATTAGGGGATAAAAACTCATCTCGATTCTCGCCCTTCCTGCACCTGCCCTAGCCTCAAGCAAACAGAAGACCTGGCCCAGGGGCACAGAACAGAAAGAAGCTCATAAACATTATATTTTCATTTATATTGCTCAGGTGAATGGGGTCTTCTGCAGCTTGATAACATGAGCATTAGCAGAGTTTGGGGTGATTATTTCTCCTCAGTCTTGTAGGATGCTCAGCTTGGAACCTGCTGTGATTCTTAAACACATACTCCATGATAGTTGGTTTCACATATAGGTTCTGTTAGCTGTCTAACCAGAGACACTTTCTGTTTTCTTCCTTAAAAAAATTTTTTTTGAGACAGAGTCTTGCTCTGTTGCCAGGCTGGAGTGCAGTGGTACAATCTCTGCTCACTGCAACCTTTGCCTCCCTGGTTCAAGTGAATCTCCTGCCTCAGCCTCTTGAGTAGCTGGGACTACAGGCACCCACCACCATGCCTGGCTAATTTTTGCATTTTTAGTAGAAATGGGGTTTCACCATATTGGCCAGGCTGGTCTCGAACTCCTGACCTTGTGATCAGCTTGCCTCAGCCTCCTAATTATAGGCATGAGCCACCATGCCTGGCCTGCTTTTTTCTTTAAATAGTCTAGGGCTGATTTCTGATCAGAAGAAACAATGCTAGTTAGTTAAGTCAGTCTCATAAGTGACAGATTAACTTCTGTAATGTGTTAGACAAACTCTGGAGTCTTGTATACATTTCCTTGCTCATGTATCTTCTCTACTTAGCTCATTATAAAACAAAAATGGCGCCTTTCAGGTTTTCTGAACTATTACATGAAATTTAAGAGGAACTGAAATCCCTCTTGAATAGAAACAGTTATGTAATACTTTCAGCCAGATGGTAGAGATTCTAACTCTCCCTGAAGCCTGGGCTATTGAAAAGCGTCCCCTGCTGTGGGGCCTTCATTGGAGTCTATGTGACCTCACCAACCCTCCCTTCCCTGGATGAGCCAGCCTCATTCCTAACCACCTCTGCCCACCATGCTGAGCCAGATGCCTATGAGAAACTGCTGATTCCCTTTATGTCACTTGGTGGACACCCCCCAGAACTGGAAGGTGGTCAAATTAGGGGAGTAAGGTTTTCGTGACCTAAGTTCATAAGAAAAAAACTCAGTAAATGATATCGGAAGCTTAGTATGTCTTCACCACTTTCCCCAAGACTAGAATAAATTTGAGTGACTATCAGCAAGTTAAAATTTGTGAAGAATATGAATTCTGTTTTATGGAAATTGTGGGTCAGTCAAAGTAAGGGATGGCAACTGGGATATTCAAGTGGCACTTCTTTCAACTCCTTCCTTTTTATTTTCTCCACCCATTCCCACTTTACTGTGCCACTTGTTGGCTACTGGCCAGGTTGGTGAGCAGAGGGAGTACAGGCATCCTGGAACAGAGGTTAAGGTAGGGCTACGTGGTGCCAAAAAAGATATAAAGGAAGAGCCTCTGTGGTCTGAAGACACCAGAACTTTTCCATCATCATCATTGTAGACACATCTATGATGCTGTATGTCTGACACCCCAAGCTTCTAGGAACAGAACCCCCAAACTCTTGGTGAAACTGCCTTTTCGGAATAAGTAATGAGAGAAATCTAACGTGACTGACTCCATCTTGCGTCTAACTTCACAGGATAAATTGCTTATTCCAGCATGGAGGCCAAGATAAGTATGAGATAAATTGAGTTCACAGTTAACCTATGAGGCAAGGAAAACTGCCCTCCTGCCTTGTTTGTAGACCGAAGCTGCATTCATAAGACAAGGTTAAAATTATGGTAGGGCCTTGAACTTTGCTATAGAATAGGCATAAACAATGACCTGCCATTGCTTTGTTTGTTTTTCCATAAGTTGTTTGCTGCCCCAGAATCACAAAACTGGGGTCACATGATTATAACTCCCCCAACTACTCCTATCAATAACATCACTATTGTGAAACTTAAAGAACTTGTCTTTGAGATATTTTTCAGATTTAGCATTTGAACAGAACAAGAGATGCCACCTGGTCCTGAGGCCCCTTTCAGAACTCACTCAGCCACACGAAGACAGTTTTATGGGTCTCTGTGGTTTCATCTCCAGCCAATTAATTGTTTCAGCTCTCCAGCTCCCTCCCTGCCAAAGTACCCAACCTACTGAAATAAAACTGGAGTCTGGCAAACCTGGAGGCCAGAGCAACAGGTCAGGCCTGTGTGAGGACTTAGAATTCAACTGGTCAGGGGTGAGAAGTTGATCAAACTCTCATTCTCAATATGGAAACATTGGAAATTCACTTTTTCTGGTCATGACCACTCTGATTTGGAGCACCTTGTAGGAGTAGCTGTGTGTGTATTTGTGTGTGTGTGTGTGTGTGTGTGTGTGTGTGTGTGTGCACAAGTATGTTTATTTAGTGATGAGTTCCATGTCCCTAGAGAAGAAGTCAATAAACCTTTGGTACAGACTCATTTTGTTCTGAAAGAGCACTTTTTGGGGGGTAGGGTTTGGGGAAGAATTTAACAAGGAGTTTTGGGTTAACCAGGGCTGGCTCTGGAGGATGGAGCTGTAGTATCCCTCCTACATGCCTATTAGATGGGGAAGGCTTTGAGCCTGGAGGTTGCTGAAGAGGGATCAGACATATTTAGATGGGAACACAGTAATCTCTTAGGAGGAAAGACCTTTTCTATTTGTGGTTCAAATGTAGTGAAATATATTGGATGGCTTGGGGTTAGCCAAGACCAAGATTGGGCAGCAGGAAAAGTATATTTCCTCTAAGACAAAATTATATTACCACAATGGGAGGAATAGTTTGAATGGATGACTGGTTTCCACACAAGTCAGGTAAGAGATGCTTCTGGACCCTATATGGACTCATGCAGCCACCTGGACACTGGTATGCCTTGAGAAAAATGGCTGGTATGTGGGTTAAAAGAGTTGATCCTTAAGTATGAATAGCTTGGGGCCTGGGCTAAAGTTGCTAAGTGGAATACGTTGGGGTAAAGTGTCCAGGGTTGTTAACAACAGGAAGTCATGAGAGAGTGAGGATACTCCATGGATTTCTATTAACTTAAGCATGTGGGTGTGGATGGTCATTAGAGTTAGAAATTTAAATTAGAGAAATGCTTAACTGTGCTGTTACAGGGTGGATGACTGTCTTGGTTACAGTTGAGGGCAAAGACTGTTTTCCATTGTTGTACCTTCAACACCTTGCACATGTGCCTGGTAGGTACATGGTAGGCACCCCACAGGTATTAATCAAGAATTTTTAGAAATAATCCTTAGCAGTGCTTGGAAATTTCAGATGGGAAAACATGCTTGGTTTGATAAAAAGTTCTTTGTATAATTTTTGTCAAAGTTATGTCTTTATAAGATTGTATCTTTTTGGAAATTTTTTTTCTGCTTTTTTTTTTTGGAGACAGAGTCTCGCTCTGTCACCCAGGCTGGAGTGCAGTGGCACGATCTTGGATCACTGTAACCTCTGCCTCCCAGAGATTCTCCTGCCTCAGCCTCCCGAGTAGCAGGGATTATACTTGCCTGGTATCATGGCTGGCTAATTTTTTTTGTATTTTTGTAGAGATGGGGTTTCACCATGTTGGTCAGGCTGGTCTCAAACTCCTGATCTTAGGTGATCCAACCCCTCTGCTTCCCAAAGTGCTGGGATTATAGGCATGAACCACTGGACCCAGCCAGATTATTATTTTTGATAACTTTATTGATATATAATTTACATAGCCTATTTAAATTGTACAATTCATTGGATTTTTCTAGTATATTTACAGAGTTGGGTGTCCATCACCATAATGTAATTTTAGAGCATTTTTGTCATCCTACAGAGAAAGCTTATACCCATTAATAGTCACTGCCCATTTCCTTCCTACTCACCTCCATCCCCAGCCCTAGGCAGCCACTGATCTTTCTTTCTCTGTAGATTTCCCATTCTGGGCACTTCGTCTGAATCATGTGATGTATGGTCTTTTGTGACTGGCTTCTTTCACTTAGAGGTTCCTTGATGCTGTAGTGTGTATCAGTACTTCGTTCCTTTTTTTGCCAAAAAATATTCCGTTGCTAAATATGGCCACGTTTTGTTTATCTATTCATCTGCTGATGGGCATTTGGGATGTTTCCACTGTTTGAACATTCCTATATGAGTTTTCATGTGGGCTAGATACTATTTTTCATTTTTCTCATCTTACAGACGAGGGAGCCATCTCAGGGAGCGTAGATGGGGTGTTCAGTGTAACACAACTACTAGGGGCAGAATTCGTACCTATCTGATGGTGAAGCTTTTGCTCCCATTCACAACTTGATGTCACCCTGTACTGAGAATGGTCCCAAGCAGGAGCAGTTACGTTATTCCCCCTGGTTTCTTGTTACATTTATATCAGGTTCTCAGGGCTGCGGTGGTGATTAGGGAAAAGAGTCTGTGTTCACACTTGGGAGGAGGCTGGGTGTAGGGAGTGGGAAAACGGGAGACAAGGAGATCGTGCAATGAGCCAGGCTTCATGGGCCAGGGACCATCAGGGGCCTGGTGGCAGATTGCTGGTCTTCCAAGGGTGGGGTAGCAGGGAAACGTCTCTAGGGCATTTCCAGAAACCTTTTGGGACAGATTCTGGTGAAAAGGCTGAATTTTCTGGAGCAGTAGAATGTGGGTATGAGTACATTATAATTTGATTAAAGCAATGTGATCTCAAAATCTAATGAAGCCTGGCAAATATTGATTGATACTCAGGTGATTCATTTTAGGATAGATATTTTTAAAAGTGCACTTATTGACACCAAAACAAAAATGTGCTGTAGCCAAAGCATTCAGAAATCCAAGACTTTGCAGCTTTAAAGTTCACAAATGTGAGGAAAGGGAGAAGGACTCTGTAATCCTTATAATGATTAGACCTTGAATTGGGAGGCCGTATGTGTAAGTTATGCCACTGTTTGGCCAGCCTGCTGCCAAGTCAGCTACCAGCAAGATGATGCCGTAAATTTTTTGCTCTACAGAGAGGATGTGATACAGGGACCACTGACACTTTCTTGTCCTGGAGAGAAGTCAGTGTCTCAGACTGAGGGGCTTTCTGGGATGTGGGCATTTCAATTTAAAATGGAGACAGCCTGGATTTGCCCAGGATAAGTTGGTCAACATACAACATTGGACAGGTACTTGTGAGATGACGAGTGGGAGTCCGGAATCCTGCTGTGTGGACCACATGGGGAATGAACATTTTTCTGAAAAGAGATAGGGCAGAGATGAGCAGAGCGAGTAGAAAAGCTAACAGATGGCCTTAAATTCCTACGGTTACACTTTTCTTAGCATGCTGTAGGTGGGTCTATTGTTTAGCACAATTATTTACAGGAGGCAAAGTGTTATGTAGAGCAGCTAGAAGCATTGGATGCAGTAAAAGCAGCTTTTTATTTCATCATAGGCAACCTGTTTATCTCTCCCAGCTCTATCAAATGTACCCCGCAAATACTTGGCTGTGATCTGAGACCTAGGAAAACAGCTTGCTATCTCTCTCTCCTGCTTTTTTTTTTTTTTTGGCATGTGATTTTAAGATTTTTCACTTTTAAAGTTATTATAAAACTCCAGGCCTAGAGCATGGTCCAGAACTGGTGGGGGTTCACAAAACAGATCAAGAATCAGAGTTGGTGAGTCATACAGGCTCACAGCACTCTGAGACACAGGGATAGGGCTTATTCATTAGTTCAGACATTAGGTGTTCCAAAGGAGGTCCTGGGAATGTGGTAATGACATTGCCTCAGGATCAATTATTTGACTGTTGTTTAAGAGGTAGGAACCTCATCAATGGGTTTACATAGGGAGGAGATAGGAAGTAGAGAAAGCCAAGCATTCTTCCAGTGCCCTGATCTCTTGTCATGTGGGCTAGTGCCTCATAAATCCAGAGAGGTTATACTACAGGTGGGAAAAGGGTAGGATAAGGGCTCAGGGAGTTCTCTCTTTTTTCTTTTCTTTTCTTTTTCTTTCCTTTCCTTTTCTTTCCTTCCTTCCTTCCCTCTCTCTCTTTCTCCCTTCCCTCCCTCCCTTCTTTCCTTCCTTCTTCTTTCTTTCTTCCTCCTAGAGCCTAAGCAAAAATGGAGAACCTTCCACATAATTCTTCTTGTACCAGTTGGTGGACTTTCCCAAGTTAAATCTTTTATGGATAATGTTGACATCTGAAGGTCTTATTTTTTATAATTGCCTCAGTTTTATATATTTTGGCACCTTTCTCCCTCACTGGCCAAAGCTCCCCAAGGGTTTGTGTCTCCTTCGTCTTTGTATTTCTGGCAGCTTCTATAAATGTCCATTACATCGTAGCGGCTCAGTGAGTGTTTCTGAACCGAAGTAAACTCACTTTCTTTTTTTCTGATGTCACATTTCTGTCCTTACTGAGTATCCATTTATTCCTGCTTACCTCATTCTTTTACCTTTTTTTTTTTTTTTTTAAGAGTTGTTTGTTGTTTAAAGATTTCCTGTGATTACTGGAGGTACAGGACCATAGATGTTCAATAAATTAATAATGTTATGAGTTTAGCATTTATCTGATTCCTTTTATTTGCAATGCAATAAGCATAAATATTTTAGCGTAATGCATTCAAAAGGTACCAGGGTAGAAAAGCATCTCCCCAGTACTGGGTCCCCATGGGGTGATGCTTACATTCTTGTTTTTATCCAATACAAACCAAGTACAGCGTTTATCTTCCCTCCCATCAGTTTATGCTCTATAGACATTGCAAGTCCTGTGAAAAGGCTGAAGCCTCCAATGATGTGCTATTCTTAGTTTCAATCCTGGCTGAGTGCTGTCAGTTATCATTTCAGCAAAGCTGGTGTGAGACTTGTGGATACAAAAAATGAAGAGTGGAAGGAGAATGCAGTTAGGAGAAATAACACAGAAAGTGCATTTTAAATAAAATTTTATGATCACTGAAGATATACTTACTATTATTTATGGGAGAATCTTCTTTTCAACAATTTCCAGTATAATCTTTCTCTGTCTCTATCCAATCCCTCATAAAATGTTTCCCACTGGTTCTTACATGATTGACTCTGAAGTTTCCATGTTAAAGGCGAGAATGAGAGTTTAAAAAATAAACGATTACAAGTAATTCCCAAAACCCATTTTAATCGTTAATCTTTTGTCTCCCACCTCCCACTTGATTGAGGATTGCTTGTTTAAGTGGCAAACATTGGCTTGGAATTCCATCTCCCTCCTTTTCCTTTAATAATGTTAATGATAATAAAAATCATAATTGATATTTTTATTTCGCTTTGGAGCTTACAATACATCTTCACATTATTTGGACCACTAAGCTGAGAAAGACCCATAAAGAACTGTCTCACAACACTACTCTCATTCCGATTCTTATTCTCATATTTTTGGATTATGGCTATGGCTTCCCCTCTCTGTCTTTAGGCCATCTTACAATTGCTGTGAGCACCATCTTCCTAAAATTCCATTTGGGTTACGTCACCACTCTGCTTAAAAACCTTCAACGACTCACTACTGGAAATATAAGTATAAAAGCCAGTTTCCTTAGCTTGCCGTGGAAAACCTTCCAAAACTGACCTCAACATGTCGTTCCAGTTTAATTGCCCATTATTCTTTTACATAAAACTTATGTTCCAGCCAATCTACTATTATCCTTTCCACAACTTACTTTTGACTTTTACTGTTTCTCCATGTGAAACTACCCATTTAATGTTTTTGTTAAACCCCGTTTAACTTTTAAGGTCCCATACACAATCCATCTCCTCCATGGAGCTCTCCTGGCTGACAAAACAGATCTTTCCCTCTTTAACTTTCTTTGCCACATGGTTCATATGATCCTTACTTTTCATTAAAAAAAAGGTTAATTTTAAGCATTTCTATTTTCCTTATTATATTATACAGGTATGTGTCTTTGTACAGGAGCCTACCTTCTGCAATAGACTAAAACCCTGAATCTCAGTGACTTTACACAGTGAGACTTCAGTTTTTACTTATGTGGCATTCTGACACAGCTTCTGGATGGAAGAAGCCATTTGGTGGCTCTTCTATTTTTAACACAGGCTCCCGGGTTTCTCTTGGTGGTGGACGTCTTCTTTCTTCACCTCAGCCGGCAGGGATGGATGATTCTTATCAGCCAAAGCTGGAAACAGTGCCTATTGCTTCCTTTCATATTCCATTAGAAATCCATCACAGGCCACGAGGGAGGGTGGGAAATGTCTCGGCCTGTGTCCCTGAAGAAGAGGAAATGAGTTTGCTGACCAGCTAGTTGGTTTCTTTACAGATTATGATAATTTGCCTTGTCCCCATTGTTCCACTATCAGCCCTTAAAGAAAGACATCCAGGCAATATAACTTTCTCTTTAGGAGATTCTCTCCCTTAGAAGAAGTTTTGGGGGCAATTCTGCTATTTCTCCATTTCACTTGCTTTTTTCCATGGGAGAAGAAATAACATATAGAGAACTCAGGGACAATCAGATGCCCACTGGACCAGATTAAGCAAAGACTGTGGGAGGGACCCAGGTTGTGTTGTGCCTTTAAATTGAGCAGTTTTGGAAATGCAAACATTATGACTATTGATTTGATAGTGTCCCCCTAAAGTCTTGGACGGATTTTTACAAGTAAGAGCTCTGATACTTAAACTTCCTTAGTTCAGTAGTAATCCTGTTTTTGGGTGCTACCAAATTGGTAAAGCCACTGAATTCCTTGTTTAGACTCTGCCATCCGCCAGTGTATAAGGAGGCTGCACTCCCCTTTCTGTTCTTCTCTAGGTCAGATCAATTGCTACAGGCCTGCCCTAAGGTCTGAGTTGAGACAAGAGCCTCATTTTGACTTCAGGTCTTAGCTGCATTCTCTGATTCAATGTAGTAGCTTCGTCATGTGTGAATTTTGCTAGGCAGAACTATGTCTTCCAGAATCTATTTCTTGTGTATTGCTACTTAAGGGATCCCCCAGTCTTATGGGAAGTGAAGCAGCATCCGCTTTGCAGCTCATACAAGTTCTCGCTTATCCATTGGAGTGAGGCAGTGGCTGAGCCTGCCATTGCTCCAGCCTGTCTGACTCCTTCAGCTGCTCTGACTCCTGGGCAGGGTGTGTCCATTTAGTTCCAATGATGATGGGCCCTGGTTTCTGTAGGACACTCATACTATCCATATTGAGGCAACAAGAACTGACACTGGTTATTTATCTGTGTGGTTTTTGGCTCATGCCTATGGGCTTGAGCTTATTCTTATTCTCACCTTCCCTCCCCAACTGCCTGCCCTGAGTATTTCAAGTTCCAGCATCAGACGTGAAGACAACAGTTTTATAGAAACTGCTTAGCCAACTCCCCCAGTTGCATAAGGTCATATCCCTGTAACAAATCTATCTATCTATCTATCTATCTATCTATCAATCAATCAATCATCTATCTTTCTTTCCATCCATCCATCCGTCAATCATCTATAGGCTCATGCCTGTAATCCCAGCACTTTGGGAGGCCGAGGCGGGTGGATCACCTGAGGTCAGGAGTTCAAGACCAGCCTGACCAACATAGTGAAACCCTATCTCTACTAAAAATACAAAAATTAGCTGAGCATGGTGACAGGCACCTGTAAATCCAGCTACTTGGGAGGCTGAGGCAGGAGAATCGCTTGCACCCAGGAGGCAGAAGTTGGAGTGAGCCGAGATTGTACCATTGATCATTTATCAGGCCAAAATTTATATATGGCCTGATAAATAATCAGGCCAAGTTTAATGAGACTGGACATATTTTGCAACCAAATTGGTCCTATTGTTATTATCTTTGAGACAGAAAAATAATATTTCACCAGAAAAATAGAATGTAGTCTTGTGGATATCATATTCTAGTCTCACTCATTATCCTCAAGATTTTGTCATCTATAAACTGCTCTGTTCCTGAAGCCCTGCAAGCTAGAGTTGAACAACGTGATATAAATTTTAGAGGACAACTCTCATGCCTATTGATGCATGCACGGACCACTCAGGGAATACACTGAACTGTTCAGTGTCATAATCAGAGACATTGAAATTACAAACCAGGAAAATACCTTCTGAGTTCAAATCTAGAAATCTTCTCTACTAACTGCTCCCTGGACCCAGAGCTGAGCTGGTAGCTTGTTCTACCCGTTAACCTTGGTTTTTATTTTCTTTCTTTTGGTTGATTTGGTTAATGGGACACACTCCAGTGTCTTGGAATTGTCCTCGTATACTCCTCATTGCAGTCTCCCTGGTCCTGGTGCACTGTATTCTTTCAAGGGTCTTAAATGCACGTCTGTAGCATTTAAGACCATTAATAGCATGTGAGAAGGTCTCACTGTGATTAGGGTGACAAAAATGGATGAACAACAAAAGGAATATTTCTTCCAGGAGCCTGATGTTGTGACTTAGGAGCTTTGTGCTGAGAAGAAAAACCAGCCATGATCATGACAGGGAATGGTGTTTATGCCCAAGTTGTGGTCAGTCTATCATAACAAGAGGCTGATTGATAGGTGAGGAACTGCTAAAATGTTTTTAAAATTGAGAGGTCATTAGGCTGGAATGGCTCCAGGGCTTCAAGCTCCTACTGAGCAAGCAAATCCCAGCATAAAACGGTGAGATGAATCTAGGGCCTTTACCAATCAGAAACCAGCAGCAGAAGTTAGTTCATGGCTGCCGATTGGTAAAGACTCTTAGATATTTAAATATATTTTCTTTGCCTTTCTTCTGCATTTAGCCCATAAATAAAGGCTTGCTGTCCAAGCTGCTGCAGCAGTTTTCCGAACTTCTGCCGGTGATGAGTGCTGCCCAACTCACGAACGATTCTTTGCACAAATCAACTCCATTAAATTTGTTTTGTCTAAAGTTTTTCTTTTAACAGCTCTAAACCTATCCTCTCTTCCCATGGCAACCCTTCACATGTTTGAATATAGCTCTTCAGTTTCTCCCTGGGCCTTCCATTCTTCCATTCCAAACATCGTCAGCAGCTTCAGATTTTCCTCATATGCCGTCATTTCTAAAATGTTCATCACTTCTCTTTCCTTTTATGCTGTGGCAGGCAGAATAGAACACAGCATTGCAGACAACATGGCATATTCAGTAGAGCCCCCACCTTGCTTGCTCCCAACACTGCTTTTCTCTTTCAGCGCTGCCTAAGACTGCTTTGTCATTTTTGGCAGCCACAGCGGGTTACTAAAATGCCTAGGGCTTCCCACATGAACTGCTATTAAGCCAAGTTTCAACATCCTGTATTTGTGTGGTTAACTTAAAGAAATCTATTTCCAGGACTTTAGTCTTAACTCATAATATAAGCCTGTTGAATTACTTTTGAATGACTTCTGCCATGTGATGCATTACCAAACCAAGCCCTTCTAAAATTTGATAAGCATGTGTCAGAGTCTTCCCATTGACAGAAATATTCCACAGACACAGATGAGCACAGAGGGCTTTAACTACCAGAAATCACTTGCCTAGAAAAGAGAGAATTTCCTTATGAACTCTTAGTTAACTAGAAAATCGAATTAATCAGGCCTTCCAGTCCCTGACCCTTCTAATTAACTAAAATTCACAGCATTATTATTATTAAAAGTATGAATGTCCCCACTTTGGCATACATAATACATACCAGGGGTTACTAGGGGTTCAAACTTGCAGAGGAATCACAAACAGCCGTCAGATGTAACTTTAGTTAAATAAGCTAAGCTATTTTTCTTAAGTGTTGATTTCCTAAGTTGGTTGACAGGGTCCTCTCCATGCCTCCTTATGGAGGCCACTGACATCACTTTAGTGGTCTGCATTACCTGGAGATTTCAGAGCTTGGATATTAAAATCTCTTTCTCCCCTTTAGGTCTTGGTTTTAGTCCTCAAAGGTCTCTGCAGGGGAATGAGGAGCCGAGAGAAAATCACATTGCTTACATTTTCCTGCTTCCTCCTCTGTTTCTCTATTTATTCCCTAGGGGAGAATATCGTATTGGGGGAGGAGCGCAGGAAAAGTCGCCCAAGGGCCACGGGATACGTTGTGGAAATGAAGACTGCTGGTCCCACCCCTATTGTCCTGGTGATGGGGTGGAACGGCAGGCACCAGCCTCCGTTTTTCTGCCTGTGGGTATGTGTGGTTGACCTCCTTAAATCAGAGCCAAGCGCGTGACCCAGAACTCGGCACAATCACCCCTGCCCACTGCATAGCCGATGAGGCTCTCTGGAGCTTTCAAGTCTTTATCTAGGGAACCGCGTCATCCTCCTAGGTCGGACACTAGGTGGCAGCAAAGCTCCGACTCATCAACCACCCCACCCTGCGTCCAGGCCGTCTTCTGACGCAGAGCTTAAAAAAAGATACTGCAGATTTTCCTTCTAAGGAAGGCGCTACCCATGCAAGACTAGCAGCTTTAAAGAGAGCCATAGCTATAACTGAAATTGTCAGGATGAAAGCGGCCTTCTGAGTCGGATAGGCAAAAACACCACAAACAAACTTCAAAACCAAATTATCATTTACAAAACTTCTTTGAGGAAGGTATAATGCAATTTTGGTGCTTCTGACCTGACAACTCGATATTAGAGGTGTGTGAAAAGAAGCAAAGCTTCTGGTTTTCTGAGGCCCGCTTCTGCCTGCTTGGCAGTGAAAATGTGAAGGTTTCATAGTAAGTTGTTGGCTCTGGAGTAGATGGTTCTGCATGTTTTACTGGTGTCCAGGGTCTGACCGATGACTCTAGGACTGCAGTACTAATGAGCATCTCGTAGACAGCATATGGACCTCAGGCAGATGTTAAGATGGGGCCAGCCGAGGAGCTAATTGAGAAGGATTTACTCAGGAGGAAGAGTCCGTCTGCGTTCTTTGAGCCTTTTGGAGAGTGGATGATAGAGCCCACTGCATAACACAACCCTGTTGTATTGTTGCATCGTAGAGGAAGGAGAAGGACAAGTGGGGGGCAGAGGAGGCAGTGCAAACAAGAGTGCAAACAGAACAACACTTCAGTCCTGTCTGTCTAGGAAAAGCTAAGGTGTCATGAGACCTCTGGTTGTTATAATGTAGTAAGCCCACCCCGCCATCCCTGCTCCCCACTCCCTCTCACATGCACTGTCGCTTCAACAGGATTTTCTTTTTTAAATTTTTATTGTACTTTATGTTCTGGGGTACATGTGCAGATCATGCAGGATTGTTGCATAGGTACATACATGGCAATGTGGTTTGCTGCCTCCATCCCCATCACCTATATGTGGCATTTCTCCCCATGTTATCTTCCCCCAACCTCCCCACCCCCCGATGTTCCTCCCCCAGCCCCTCCAACAGACCCCAGTGTCTGATGCTCCCCTCCCTGTGTCCATGTGTTCTCATTGTTCAATACCCACCTATGAGTGAGAACATGCGGTGTTTGATTTTCTGTTCTTGTGTCAGTTTGCTGAGAATGATGGTTTCCAGATTCATCCATGTCCCTACAAAGGACACGAACTCATCATTTTTTATGGCTGCAATTATTCCATGGTGTATATGTGCCACATTTTCCCTGTCCAGTCTATCATCGATGGGCATTTGGGTTGGTTCCAGGTCTTTGCTATTGTAAACAGTGCTGCAATGAACATATGTGTGCATGTGTCTTTATAACAGAATGATTTATAATCCTTTGGGTATATACCCAGTAATGGGATTGCTGGGTCAAATGGAATTTGTATTTCTAGATCCTTGAGGAATCACCACACTGTCTTCCACAATGGTTGAACCTATTTACACTCCCACCAACTGTGTAAAAGTGTTCCTATTTCTCCACATCCTCTCCAGCATCTGTTGTCTCCAGATTTTTTAATGATCACCTAACACCATAAAAACCCTAGAAGAAAAAAGCTAGGCAAAACCATTCAGGACATAGTCATAGGCAAGGACTTTATAACTAAAACACCAAAAGCATTGGCAACAAAAGCTGAAATACACAAATGGGATCTAATTAAACTCCAGAGTTTCTGTACATCAAAAGAAACAATCATTAGAGTGAACTGGCAACCAACAGAATGGAAAAAAATTTTGCAATCTACACATCTGACAAAGGGCTAATATCCAGAATCTACAAAGAACTAAAACAGATCTACAAGAAACAAACAAACCCATTCAAAAGTGGGCGAAGGATATGAACAGACACTTTTCAAAAGAAGACATATATGAGGTCAACAAGATTTTTTAAAAGAGTGCTGCCAAATTCCTTTAAGAAGCCAATCCATTTCAGCTGAGGCTGTTACACTTGCAAAAGCGATCTTGCTGAAGATGAGCTTTTCAGCTGGTTTGTTAGCTACTTAGGTAGCTCTAGAGACTCCAAGGAGGTGATACAAAAGGCCAAGGAGAGGAAGCCAGAATCAGAGCAAGAGTGATAACCCGGTCAGATACCTTGTCTCTTTTTCTCTATCATCTAAGCAGCCCTGAATTCCAAGTGTAGTAGAGATCTGTAAGTACGTAGAGGATAAGAAACCTGATTTTGCCATCTGTGGACTCTGAGTTGACATCCTCACCTTTCAAGGTCTTCCTGTGACTCACAGTGAAAGAGGGAACTTGGTCCACGTCCTCAATGTCTTCTCATAACTCTTGTCTTCCCTTATTAGCCTGGGTGATGGGAGGAGATACATCTACTTGCTGTCCTGGGTCAATGGACCACTTACCCCTCATTAGTGCATCTTAGGCTCAGATGCTATTTAAAAGTTTTCTGAAATCCCTCCTTCTTCAGGAAAACTTTGACTAAAGAATAAGATTCAGTTAATAATGAATCCCCTACATTAATGCACCAAAATTTATTTCTTTGCTTACAATGTAAAGGATTTCCTGGTAAATCTGTGTGTTTATGCTGGATTTGCTCATAGTTTGCATTTTCTCTATGCTTCCAAGTTTGCTGTGCTGTGTCCCAGATTTCTGTTTGCCACAGGGCATGCAAATGAGGAGGTTGCCAGGATGTTAAGTAAATCGATGTATAAAACATAATGTCCAAAAATATGGGCATGGTGCTTTATAGCCCACAGAGATTTCAGATGTTTTACCGAATTTGACCTTTGCCTTATCACTGTTAGCCAAGATGATTATCCTCATGCTATAGATGGGAAACCGAGGCTCTGAGAAGTTAGGAAAGGGCACTGTCTTAGGGCACCCAGCTGGGAAGTGGCAGGAAGGTTTTCTGTTACCAAAGTCCATGCTGTACTTGGGTATCTTAAACTGTTCCAAGTTTAGCATAGTTAGGGGCTGGACACACACACCTGATGATAAGGGATGGAGTTGTTGTGACCTGAGCTAAGATAGATAAAAACCAAAATGAAAATGGTGCTGTAGGTGGATTAATTTGCCATAATTTCTTTCCCCACTTTCTCCTGATTCTTTTTTTTTTGTTAAGTGACAGGGTCTCGCTACCTTGCCCAGTCTGGAGTGCAGTGGCTATTCACAGGTGTAATCATAGCACACACTACAGCCTCAAACTCCTGGGCACAAGGGACCTTCTTTCTTCAGCCTTCTGAGTAGCTGGTGTTATAGGCTTGTACCACTATGCCTAGCTTGTCTCTTGATTTTTAAAAGTAGTTTTATTAATTTTTTCTGTGTCAGTGTGCTTAACTGTAGAAAAAGTAGAATTTTATTTTCTTTCTTTCTCTCCCTCCCTCCCTCCCTCTTTCTTTCTTTTCTTTCTTTATTCTTTCACTTTCTTGCTTCCTTCTTTTTTTGAGACAGAGTCTAGCTCTGTCACCAGGCTGCACTGCAGTGATGTGATCTCAGCCCACTGCAACCTCCGCCTCCTGGGTTCAAGCGATTCTCCAGCCTCCGCCTCTCGAGTAGCTGGGATTACAGGCATGCGCCACCACACCCAGCTAATTTTTGTATTTTTAGTAGAGACGTATTTTCACCATGTTGGCCAGGATGGTCTGATCTCTTGACCTCACGATCTGCCCACCTCGGCCTCCCAAAGTGCTGGGATTACAGGTGTGAGGCAGAATTTTCTTTATGATAAGCCAGACAGAGCTGGGTGCAGTGGCTCATGCCTGTAATCCTAGCCTTTGGGAGGCTGAGGCGGGTGGATCATCTGAGGTCAGGAGTTTGAGACCAGCCTGGACAATATAGTGAAACCCTGTCTGTATTTAAAAAAAAAAAAGACAAAAAATTAGCTGGGCTTGGTGATGGGCACGTGTAATCCCAGCTATTAGGGAGGCTGAGACAGGAGAATTGCTTGAACCTGGAGGCGGAGGTTGCAGTGAGCCAAGATTGTGCCATTGCACTCCAACTTGGGCAACAAGAGCAAAACTATGTCTCAAAAAAAAAAAAAAAAATCCAGACAAATGCTTTCCAAATTCAAAGGACACCGTGAAAGTGATGGGCAAGATTGGAATAAAGAGAGAACTTGAGCCCAAATTAATGGTGATTTTTTATTCTTGGGGCTCTGAGCAGCTGGCCCCAAATAGCAAGGTGCTGCTAAGGATCAAGGTCTTGCTTCCACTGCAGATTTTCCTTCTGCTTGACTTTAGGGTGGGCGGGTGGAGGAGGCTCCATCGAGGAGCCAGGCAGACCTAGTTTGAAGCCCTGTCTCTGTGTTGCTAAGCTGAAACACTCGACAACATTTTTAAAGCTTACTGAGCCTTAACCACCTCATCTGTAGGGTGAGGCCCCATAATACTTAATTTTCAGGGCTGTTTTGAGATTAAAGCAGAATACTTGTCAAATGCCTGGCACTTTGCAGGTAGCGGCTCTAAAAGAGAAACAAGTGAATCTGTCTAATATGAAAGTAGTTGCTAGGATATTGTATAATTTCTTGGGCCTGAGACTTAAGTCAACTGACAAGTTTCAAGAAGGAAGAAATCTAGGTTGGGCATTTCTGTCTAAGTGTGATGCCTACAAGGTTGCCCACAAAGGCAGCCAGGCAATTTCATCTTCCAAGAGTCATACAAAATGATTTAAAAATGACCACTTAAATTTTATCCCAAAGAGATACAGCCATTATGGAAAATAGTATGGAGATTCTTCAGAAAACTAAAAACAGAACTACCATATGATCTGGTCATCCCACTTCTGTGTACATATCCAAAGGAATTGAAATCAGAATCTTGGAGAGAGATTTGCGCTCTC